CCAAACACAGCTGGGCCAAGTGTGGCTTTTCAGCTCCAGCAGCAGGGTGGAAGCCAGAGGTTGGAAAATTACTGAGAGGAAACTTCAAAGGTGCAGGAGATCCTGGCTAAACCGACCTAACAGGATGTGTGCAGGCAGGCCAGGTGGCCAGCAATGACCCGTGGGGGTGGGGAACCTGGATACAGAGACGACCCGGACAGACTGGGTGGGACAAGGGACACGACACAAGGAAGGGAGAGGACTGGTGGCATGTTGAAGGTGAGCGGATATCCAAGTCACAGGCTCTAGACAGAGTGACAGACGAGTGTTCTTGATGAAACTAGACTTCACAAGACTAGAGGAGGGCTTGCACCCTGACTAAAATGTGGCCAGGCAAAGGATCTTTTCAGGGATGTATAGCATTGCTACATTGTTTCGGTCAAAGGATCTTTGTCTGGGATGTGTAGCATTGCTACATTGTTTTAGTGACTATGAGAGCCAAAGCACTGTACTAGAAAAGCAGAAGCCAAACACTATGAGAAAGAAAACAAATGAAAAAATGAGCCACTGGAAGACGAAGAACAACAAAAATATTACACAAAATAAAGGGAAAAGGGAAGGCAGGGCAAGGGTATATCTTAATGGAAGAGGCCTGGGCCCCATTCCCAGCACCACACAAAAATAAAATAAAAATAAAAAAGGAATAACCACAAGAAATGTGGAATTGGTAAACAAATTCAAATATGTAAATATTTTAATATAAGTGTGAGGGCTGGAGCTACAGTGGTTAAGAGCACTGGCTGCTCTTCCAGAGCTCCTGGGTTTGATTCCCAGAACCCACATGGCAGCTCACAACTGTCTTTAAGCCCACTTTCAGGGGATTTGAGGCCATCTTCTGTCCTCCACAGGTGCCAGGCACACCAGTGGTGCACAGACATACATGAAGACAAAAAAATCCATACATAAAAAACAAATATAAATAACAAAAAAGAAAATAAATGTGAATAGTCTGGTATGGTGGCACATGCCTACAGTCCTAGCACTCAGGAAGTGGAGGCAGGAAGATCAGGAGTTCAAGGCCATCCTTGACTCTGTTATGACTTCAAAGCCAGTCTGGGCTAGATGAGACCCTATGTTAAAAAACAAAACAAAATAGGACCAGTGTGATGGCTAAGTAGATAAAGGTGATTGCCATGCATTTCTGAGGACTCCAGTTTGATCCTCGGAATCCACAGTAAAAGAAGAGAATTGGCTCCATAAAGTTGCCCTCTGACCTCTACAAGTGAAACAGATGCACTCCACCACACACACTCACACACACACACTCATACACACTCACATTTGCACACACTCATACTCATACACTCACATTCACACACTCACAATCACACACACACAAATAATAAAACATTAGAAGAATAAAAAGTGGGTCAATTATACTTTCTTCTTAGAAGACAGCTTATTATATATTATATATAATTATAGACCCTGGAGGTGGTGGCACCCGCCTTTAATCCCAGCACTCGGAGGCAGAGCCAGGCTAGTCTACAAAGTGAGTTCCAGGACAGCCAGGACTGTTATGTAGAGAAACCTTGTCTCAGAAAAATCAAATAATAATAATAATAATAATAATAATAATAATAATAATAGCAGCACCTATTGCCACTAGGCATCCAGTAATACCAAGTTTGGGGGGAAAGGAGTTTTGTTTTGAGATGACAGCTTGTTGTATTGCTTAGGCTGCTCTCACTGACTTCTGCCTCAGCCTCCTGAGAAATTGGGACGAAGGCTTGCAATTCCACACCGAGCAGGGAATTCATAGTTCTGAGTGACTGCATCCTCCTCCTCCTCCTCCTCCTCCTCCTCCTCCTCCTCCTCCTCCTCCTCCTCGTCATCATCGTCTTCTTCTTCGTGGTGCCTGGGCAGTTGCTAAGCACACACTCAACACCAAGCTCCACGCCAGTCTTTTGGACCACGACTGAACTATCAGATTTCCCAAAAGGTTCTTCCTTCTCTTTTCCTTTCTCTCATTCATTCATTCATTTCTTTGAAACTCATGGTTTCACCAGCCTCAACTTGACAAAATCCTTTTGCCTCTGCCTCCCAGGGCTGGGATTTCAGCATGCTCCACCCTGCCCAGCCTAAACGTACTCTAGTGATCCTTTAAATCACTCTGGGAGACTGGTGCCTAATACCATTCTCATGAAGGCAGAATTCAGCCTCAGGCTGGCTCATCACAGACACAAAATGGTGGATATGCTCGCTCTAAGGCTCACTGACTGCGTTCTCAGTAGAGCATCTACTCTACTGTCCTGTCTTAAGCCAGATCTACTTTGTCAAGGGGCCTATTTGAAAACACTCAACTTTCAGATTTTAGTGAAACCGAAGACAGCTGAGTAGTACAGTTTGAGCCAATGTATCAGGGGGAGTTCCGAGGCAGGATTCCAGGAAGAGGATTCCAGGAAGTTTATTCAGTGGCAAGGACTTTACCGGGAGCCTTTCACCTTTTGCCTATTGGCCTTACCCTCTTTCCTTCTCATCTGCCTGGAATGTTGACCTAGTTGCATAAGGGTTCAGTAGCCATTTTGCAAGTATGAGAAAAGAAAGCTCACCCATGAGCCGGGCATTGGTGGCGCACACCTTTAATCCCAGCTCTTGGGAGGCAGAGGCAGGTGAATCCCTGTGAGTTCAAGACCAGCCTGGTCTACTGAGCGAGTTCCAGGACAGCCTCCAAAGCCACAGAGAAACCCTGTCTCGAAAAACCAAAAAAAAAAAAAAAAAAAAAAAGAAAGAAAAGAAAAGAAAAGAAAGAAAGCTCACGCATGTTAAAGATGTGAGGGGAGCCTGACTGCCTCACGGCTTCATAGCATGGCCGTCTACCAAGGACTGGGCACTCCCACATCCGCAGTTATGAAAGAACTCTAAAAACCAGGGCAGCTGGGTTCTTGTGACATGTCATAAAACAGGCCTTGTTTTTCACACTGCCCGGTGATGGCTTCTCCGACCACTGTCTTTGTTGTTCTCATGGGTGGGTTAGCAGCTGTGTGAGGAACTCACCTGAGCAGGGCATGTGGAAGTAGGTGACCCTGAGAGAGTAGCCTGTTCTCTGAGACCAGGAAAGGATGAGTCACTTAGCTGGAGTCACTCTCGTGGGTGAGAAGAGATAGGACTGCCGATGACTTTCCCTTTTGTCCTTGTCCCACCTCAGCCCTGTCACGTTCTAGTGTGTGTGTGTGTGTGTGTGGTGTGTGTATGTAGTGGTATGTGTACTGTGTGGTGTTGTGTGTGTGTATATGTAGTGGTATGTGTACTGTGTGGTGTTGTGTGTGTGTGTGTGTGTGTAATGTGTGGGGTATGTGTGTGTATGTGCATGTGTGTGTGAATGGTGTGGTGTGTATGGTATTATATCATGTTGTGTGTGTGGTGTGTGTGTGGTGTGGTGTATATGTGGTGTGGTGTGTGTGTGTATGGTATGTGGGTGGTGGTGTGTGTGTTTGTGGTGTGTGTGTGGTGTTGTGAGGGGGTGTGAATGGTATGATGTGTGTGGCATATGTGTGCATGTGGTGTTTTGTGTGTGTGTGGTGTGTGGTGCACGTGTAGTGTGTATGATGTGTGTGTGGTGTGTGTGTGTGTATGTAGTATGTGTGTGGTTGTGTGTTGTGTGGTTACATATGTATATGCACTCAAGTGTGTGTGCACAGGAGTATATATTGGAAGGCCTGGGGCTGGGATTTGGTCTATACTACACTACACTGAGCACTGAACCTGTCTCAGAAAATAAAAGATAAGTAAAATGTATTAGCTTGAGTTTTTTATTTTCTCTTATCTTCAAGAACATTTTTCTTTAAAAAATGCATCACATTTGTTTGTTCAGTTGTGTGCTGCTGGACAGCAGGCTTTCACACCTGTGCCTGGTGCGAGTGTGGAGGTCTGAAGACCACCAGCAGGAGTCAGTTCTCCTTCCATCATGTAGGTCCAGGGAATTACCTCAGGTCATCAGGCTTGGTAACCAGCACCTTTACCCACAAAGCCATCTTGATAGCCCAAGAGATTTTTTTAATGAACTTGTAACGTAACTGGCTTTATGAGGTGAGCTAATGAGGAGTACAATGTGGTGGGACTCAGAGCAAGGGACATTCTGGCCCTGAGTGAGCACACTTGCACATTCATCGGTTGTTTACGGCATTCGTGTTTGATGTCTTTAGGGAAGCGTGCACTATCTCTGCATTGGTTTGACCAGTTGTGCTGAAGTCCCTTGACTCTCCATCATTTGGAAAGGCAAGCCAGATCCCAGGGCAAATGGTTTCTCCTCCTCCTCCTCCTCCTCCTCCTCCTCCTCCTCCTCCTCCTCCTCCTCCTCCTTCTCTTTCTCCTCATGCTCCTTAAATTTCCTGTCTTTCTAGCCTGCTTCATTTTTATTTCATTTCTTTTTTATTTTTTTTTCTTTGCAGGGCTGGAGATAGAAGCCAGGGTCTCTCCCAAGCCAGGCAAGTACTCTACTACTGAGCTACATTCCTGGTATGTCAGGCAATGTCCATCCGTGAACCGTTTAATGTTCTTGGAGATGCTGTATGTGGGGGCAGGAAGTCCCCGAGTCACAGTGGTAAGTGTTTCCTTCGAGTCTGTGACCACAGCCTCTTTCTGGAGAAGAGTTGTGTTACTTCCTGAAGGTCACTTGTGTTTTAGAGGTTCCAAGAAATTCAGCCTTCCTTTGGGAGGTGGGGTTTTGCAGAATGCTACAGTTGGTTTGCCCAGTCGCTTGTACGGGGTTGGAAGGGTTGTCAAAGGAGAAGATGGCATCACATGACATGCCTGCCAGTCACAGCCACCCGCAGCAGACAATGACTCCATATTTCATCTTATCTTTTTTTCTAATCACAAGCAATCCATCGTTCCTAAGTATTCTGAACTCTGAGGTTCAAAAAAGCATCAAGGGAAATCAATTTTATCTTGCTCAAAAGACATTTAACTATTACGGGCCTCCTTCATCGCTGCAAAGAAATAAAATCACTCCATTGGCATTGAAATTTCTTATTCCTTTTATTTTGATATCATTTAAATTTTACCCCAAAAGGGGCTGGAGAGATGGTTCAGTGCTAAGAGCTCTGCTGCCCTTGCAGAGAACCCAGGTTGGATTTTCAGCAGCCACATGGACGTTCACAGCCATCTACTGTAACTCCAGAATCAAGGGATCTAATGTCCTCTTCAGGCCTTCAAGGGCACAAAGCACATACATACCTGTAGGCACAGTACAGAAAATGAATAAATCTAATTTAATTTTTTATTTGATAAAAAAATCAGTTTTGAAACTAGAACAGAGAGAAGCTGGCTAGTCGGCAGAGGGTTGGGCAGTGTGTACACACACACGTGCACACACACGCGCGCACACACGCACGCACACACACACACACACACACACCAATGCAACTCCAGGAGTGGTGGCACCCACCTTAAATCTCAGCTCTCAAAGGTAGATGGATCTCTGAGTTGAAGACCATCTGGTTTATACAGAGAGCTCCAGAGAACCTATCTTTGGAGAAATCAAGTTGGTATAGATCTAGAAACTTCATCCCTACTGGCTAGCTTTCATAGCACTGGAAGGTGCTGGGCCTGTTCCTGGAGAAGAAATCACCAAGCTTACGCAGCTGGGAACCCTGCAAACCGCAGTAATGACCAGGCTGGCAAGCTATGCTGGCTGATGAAATGTTACAAGAGTCACTGACCACTTACTGATGGAATTTGATATCCACTCCATGAGAAGGAAGCTGTGCCTGGAACTGATATTGGGATCAAAAGCCTGTGGCTGCAGAGATCATAGGCCCTACCACCACTATTCCGTTAAACGGACTTGGTACATGGCAAATTGACTCATCCGAAGACCACAGGTTAGGGCTTATCTCAGCCCTCATCAGAGACGCTCCTTTTCGCAATCTGTGTCGATTGCACAAAGAGCCACAACTGGTTCATGAGCAGAGGACGAGAGACTGAAGAGTCCTAAATGGCACATCTGTGCCAGACCCAGTCCTCCCAAGGCTCAGAGAGCATCAGTGAAGGGTCAGAGGCCGTGTGGGACTACAAGGGCACGGCACTGTGACTGCACTCCTGAGGCCAAGGCAGTCAGAATCCCGCAAAGAGTGGTAACGTGGGGTGGGCGTGAAGTCCCACCCACAGCTGCGGAGCGATTGGCAGCTAATGACTACTGGGAGAGACAGTCCATTTTCTCTGGGGATGCAGACCCAAGAGGCTACCCATGCCCCAGTAGATGGCCCTACACCCAGCCCTTACTGGCAGCACCAAGTACACTCAGTGCTATTGAAGAAGAAAGAAAGCACATGAAATTGAAAGGCTATAGTGACAGTGGGCATCTTACTTTTCTGTCACTGTGACAAAACATCATGACTGGGACAACTGTTATATAGAAAGACCTTCCACAGGGCTCATTTACAGTTTCAAAGGGTTAGAGTTCATGACCATCATGGCAGGGAGAATGGTGGCAGGCCAGCAGGCGTGATTTTGGAGCAGTAACTGAGAGTTCATATCTTGATCTACAACAATGAAGCAAAGAGGGAAATTTGGAATCTCAAGTCTTTTAAAGCGTCAAAGCCCACCCCCCAGTGACACACCTCCTCCAACAAGGCCACACCTCCTGATCCTTCCCAAAGAGTTTCATTAACTGGGCATGAAGCATTCAACTATATGAGCCTGTGGGGGCTATTCTTATTCAAACCACCACAGTGGCGTGGGGAGGAACTGGAGGGACGGAATGCGGAGTAGATTCAGTCAAATACATTATGAACATGTATGAAATTCTCAGACCAAAAACAAACAAAGAAACAATAAACGTATTCTTTTAATAGTCAGGAAGGTAAGTTGGATGGGAATTTTTTTTCAGTTTTTCAAGACAGGGTTTCTCTGTAGCTTTGGAGCCTGTTCTGGAACTCATTCTGTAGACCAGACTGGCCCCAACTCACAGCCTCTGCCTTCCGAGTGCTGAAATTTGAATGTGTGTGCTGCCACACCTGGCAACTTTTTAAGTTTTTGAGACAGGGTCACAGTATGCTTCCCATGCTAGTGTTAAACTCTTACATCTAGCAATCGCTCTTTTTTTTTTTTCTTTAAGAAAACTTTATGCTTCCCAGGTCAGCTTAGGAGGAGACTCCAAGTCCACTTAGGAGAGAGAAGTCTCAGGAGAAGTCTGCAATCGCTCTTTTTGAGACAGGGTTTTTTTGTGTAGCCCTGGCTGTCCTGGAACTCACTCTGTAAACCACGCTGGCCTAAAACTCACAGAGATCCGCCTGCCTCTGCTTCCTGAGTGCTGGGATTAAAAGCATGCACCACCACGGCAAGCATATACTCTGGTTTCTCTTCAGATAGTATAAATCTTTCGCTTTTTACTAGCAAGCATTCTCAGCCTCAGCTCCCCTTACTGTTATCAGCTTACCTTATTTCGATCCATTTGTCCAAAACTAAGAAACCAACAGGACACTGCTCCTCTCTGGACGAGACGAGGTAAATCCGAGCTGTTGTTCTCCATGTCCTCTTTTTGTTCCAGGGTCCTGCCTTGCTTGTTGGCACAGGCTGTCCCCCTGCCATGCAGCCTGACTGCTCACAGTCCTGGCACCACAGGTGTGAGCAGTCTCCAGTCTAGGCAGCAGATCTGACTGCTTTGCTGTTGAGAAGGTCCAGGAGCCTGGTGGGTGTTTGAAAACGGGTCCCAGTATGCAACATTTATGTGAACAGCTAAACTGACTGGAGTTCACCTTCAAAGACAAAGATGCTGCTGTCTTTGAGTGATGCCAGGGTCCCACTGGAGTCTGGACTTACTGAGAACATTCTGGGGACTCTAAACTTTGAAAACAACAAACTCAGGTTAAGTGAGTAAAGGAGACAGGAGAAGAGAGAAAAGCTTCAGGCCTAGAAGAGGAGGAGGAGGAGGAGGAGGGGAGGAGGAGGAGGAGGGGGCAGAGGAGGAGGAGGAGGGGAGGGAGGAAGAGGAGGGGGAGGAGGAGGAGGAGGAGGGAGGAGGAGGGGAGGGAGGAGGAGAGGAGAAGGGGAGGAGGAGGAGGAGGAGGAAGAATTCCGTTTACTTCAGAAGGCACTGGGAGAGAAACCACTCCGCTTCCGTTCCCAGGAACAGTCACCCTGAGCTGCGGGTTGTGAAATGGAGATGCAGGGCAGGTTGTCAGGCCTCCTACATATACTGGTTGAGTAAGTTCGGACAAGTTCCTTAATCTCTCCAAGCCTTGGTTTCCTTGTCTCTAAAATGAGATTGTATAAGCAAATGCACTCAGCCCAGAGGTGTCAGGGAGAGCATGGACTAATGTGAATTACTGTTATTAGCAGCACAGGCGACCCCACCTCTTCTCTGTCTCCCATTAGCAGCCTTTCCTCCCTCTTTCATATTTGGCTTCCTCTTTCTTTCTAGTCCGTGGGCAGAGACCAAAGATGGAATCAAGGCCTGGTGCTTGGGAGGCTGGGCCTCCGCTCCTCCACACGTCTGTCCTGTCCATAGAAGGTGACGAGGAAATAGAGCACTTCCCAGAAGGATGAGGGAACGTTCCAACGCCAAGTCTTTCTCAACATTTACTTACGCATTTATTTTTATGTGTACTGGTGCTTTGCCTGCCTGCCTGCCTGCCTGTCTGCCTGTCTCTGTACCACATTCATGCAATACCCATGGAGGCCAGAAACACAGGCAGTTGCGAGCTGCCACATGGGTCCTGGGAACCAAACTGAGTCCTCTGGAAAAGCAACTAGTGCTCTTACCCACTGAACCGTCTCTCCAGGACACCCCCACCCCTTCTTTCATGAGACAAGGTCTCTCACTGGAACCTAGAGCTTGACAATTAGACCAGGCTGGCTAGCCAGGGAGCCTCCCCAGTCCTGGGGTTACAAGTTTGTGCCAGCATGCCCAGCTTCATTCATGGGTGCTTGCAAGGCAAACATTTTACTGACTAAGCTACCTTCTTCCCCACCCCCCACCACCTTTTGAGATGGTCTCATGTGGCCCAGGCTGGCCTTGAGTGTACTGTGAACTGAAGATCACCTTGAGTTTCTGACCCTCCTGCCCCCACCTCCCGTATACTGAAATTAAAGCTTGTTCTACCACCCAGGCACAGTGCTGTGCATCAAACCCTGGCCTGCATGGATTAGAATGGCACCACCAACTTAGACACGCCCCCCACTTCCTCGCCCTGCCTCTTTACGGTGTATTTACTTACTGTGTGTGTGTGTGTGTGTGTGTGTGTGTGTGTGCCTGAGTGTGTGAGTGTGCACCCAGGGCATGCAGGAGCCCGAGGAGATCAGAAAGTGTGCCGGATACTTGAGACTGGAGTTAGAGATGTTTGTGAGCCACCGTGGAGGTGCTGGGAACCCAAGTGCTCAGCAAGCATGGCAGTGCTCATAACTGGTGAGCCAACTCTCCCACCGGAATCTGCCCCTTTAAAAAGAGAAGCGTAACTATGAACCTTTTAAATTTATTTTTACTTTATGGGTCTGTGTGTTTTGCCTGCATGCATGCCTGTGCGCCCCTTGTGCCCAAGGAGGCCAGAAGAGGAGTCGGATCCCCTAGAACTGGAGTCACAGACAGTCGTGAGCTGCCCTGCGGGGGCTGAGAATTGAACCCGGGTCCTCTGGAAGAGCAGCCAGGGCTCCTAACCACTGAGCCATCTCTCCAGCCCCCATATCCATAAAACCTGCTAGTCAGTCACAGCACAGATGAGGTAAGCACCAGGTGACTTTTCTCTCGTTGTCCCCTCCCACAGCGTAGGACTCAAATACCTTCTTACCCTTTGTGGGGGACATTCCTGCTCCCAGGCTGCCACTTATTTGCCCCCATTAGTGTGACTGGAAACAAAATGTCCAGCAGAGGACTACAAACACTTGCTGAGCACACACATCACGGCCTTCAGGGAGGTCCAGGGCAAGACCTGGGATTGCACCATGGCTGGTCGTGGGTGGTTTCTGACAACTGCTCGGTGCCAAAAAGCAGAGGCGGCCAGGTCTGGGGATGCAGAAGAGAGGAGCTGTGATTTCAAAATGTGGCCTGCAGGCGGCCAAGGTGGAGAAGCACACTGGCCGCGCTCTGGAATCAAAGAAGGACGGCTGAGAACGGAGGCCAGCCTGTGCTGCACAGTGAGGCCCCCGTCCTGAGGACGGAGGGCCAGCCTGTGCTGCACAGTGAGGCCCCCGTCCTGAGGACGGAGGGCCAGCCTGTGCTGCACAGTGAGGCCCCCGTCCTGAGGACGGAGGGCCAGCCTGTGCTGCACAGTGAGGCCCCCGTCCTGAGAACGGAGGGCCAGCCTGTGCTGCACAGTGAGGCCCCCATCCTGAGAACGGAGGGCTAGCCTGTGCTGCACAGTGAGGCCCCCATCTTAAACAGCTAAAGTGAAAATGTGACCTTGTGCTTAGAACGCTTGACACTGCGGGCTTAATGCCTAGCACTCCAAAATAAATAAGAATAAAAACAAACAAGCAAACTTGCCATGGTGCTTCATACCTGTAAACCCAGCATTCAAGAGACCAAGGCATGAGAATTGCTATGAGCACCAGGCCAGTCTAGTCTTCAGAGTAAAACCCTGGAGATCCTGTCTCAAAAGAAAGGAAAGAAGCTCTTCTGGGAACGGTGCTTAGAGGCGTTCAGAATGGTCCAGCGTCTGACATACCGACGTAGACTTTCCTACAACACAGCCTCTAACAAAACTAGGCTGTCTCGAACCCCTGGCAACAGGATCGTTTACCTTTATACCAAGAAGGTTGGGAAAGCACCTAAATCTGCATGCGGTGTGTGCCCAGGCAGACTTTGAGGGGTTCATGCTGTCAGACCAAGTCCTTATGAGACTGTCTAAGACAAAGAAGCGTGTCAGCAGGGCCTACGGCGGCTCCATGTGTGCCAAGTGTGTCCGCGACAGGATCATGCGGGCTTTCCTTATCGAGGAGCAGAAAATTGTTGTGAAAGTGTTGAAGGCACAAGCACAGAGTCAGAAAGCGAAATAAACATGCAGCTTTTTAAATAAAGGTCAAGGCTTGGCCTGTGGAAAAAAAAAGGAAAGAAGAAAATACTCAGAGACTAGACACACACACACACACATGTGCACACATGTACACACAGGCACACACACAGGCACACATAGTCTCTCTCTCTCACACACACACACACACACAGGTACACAGGCACTTTAATCCCAGCTTGGCGGGTGGAGGCAGAAGGATCCCATTACTGAGTCAACCTTGGCTACAGAGGAAGTTTGAAGGGAACCTAAAATAGATGAGACCCTGTCTCAAAAACAAAACAAATCCAAGAACAAACAAATGAGAGAGGTGATAGCAACTGAACAAACCCTTTGTGAGAAAGAACACCTCTCACGTACTCTGTCAGCCCTGGGTCACGTGGGCACGGGTTTGGGGCATGCTAACTCAGAGTCTTAGACCTTCAGCCAAGGGCTGCTCCTTGCAGAAATGGGCCAGGCAGCTAGCGAAGAAATGAGTGAGAAGTCCTCAGGAGCCTCATGACTCACTCAGAGTCTTTCCCGTCCCCTGTGCAATGGTCATGGCCCTCAGCTGCGCCAATAGGCTACGGCGTGTCTGTCCTTTCCAGCAGTAAGGAAACAGCTGCGACCACACCTGACTCTTTCTTCCCCCTGTTCTGAGGGAGATGCCAAGGCCTCGTTCACACTAGGCAAATGCTCTACCTCTGAGAGACACCAGTTTCCAACCCACCACACACGCACACCACCTCCACCTCCACACCCCACCACACACGCACATACACACCCCACCACACACACCACATTCACCCCCACACCCCACCACACACGCACACACATACCCCACCACACACGCACACACACACACCACCTCCACCCCCACACCCCACCACACACACCACATTCACCTCCACACCCCACACACACACACCCCACCACACACACACATACACACACACACCACCACACACACACACCCTACCACACACACACACACCACATTCATCCCCACACCCCACCACACATACACACCACACCACACCCCCCACACACACACCCCACCACACACACACACACACCCCACCACACACACACCCTTCCCCTCTACCACCAACATATACACACACCACTAACACACACACACAATAACAACACTTTTTCAAAAAAAGTATCTCAGCTAAGCTGCTCCAAAACTGGCCTTGGACTCACTCTATAGTCCAGCAAGGCCCTGAACTTGTAATCCTCCTGCCTCAGCCTCCAGAGTAAGTGGGATCACAACTGTGTGACACACCCTGGTTCACTTGTAGCATAATTGTAAAAGGCCTCTCGGGAAGTCTGGTAACAAGGTCCAAGTTCCCAGACTATCAAGGAGGCTTCATGAGGAAGGCCATATTTGAATGGGCTTTGAAGGATGGATAGGAGTTTGCACAGGGTTTGGCTTTGCTTTTCCTCCTGCTCTGCTTCTCTGCACTAAGGAGGCTCGAGGCCACCTGGCACCTGAGACAACATTTCAAGAAGGAAGTAATGCTTGTCCTGTCCCAAAAGTGACTTGAAACTGACAAAAGAGTGACAGATGTAAACCTTAACACCTGCTACTGTCCCCAGAGAGCACGAGTCCTTTTCCATATATTTTAATTCTTGTCTATGAACCCTTTCACAGACCATTCCAGGTTCTGACCATAGACAGATCAGAATTAATGGATAAAGAGAAACAGGGGTCGGGAGGGTCTTACTCTACAGCCAAGATGGACTCGAGATCACTAAGCAGTCTAGGCTTGCCTGGAACGCATAATCCTCCTGCCTCAGTACAAGGACTACAAGGAAGGTGTGGACCACCATGGCCCAGCTTTCCTGTATCCCAGCAACTTTTAAGTAAGTAAGTAGCCTAGAGTCCCAGCACTGGGGAGGTGGAGTCACTGGGATGGGAGGTTCAAAGACAGCCTCCACCACATAGGGAGTTTGAGGTTGGCCTAGGCTACATGAGGCCTGTCTCAAGAACTCGATCAGATAAATGAATGAGTAAAAAGAGGTATGAATGAGAGGGAAAGAGTCTCCCCACCTCTTCCTTTGGCCTCCAGTCCCTCACCTTCCCATCTCCATGCGGGGCTGTGGCCTCTGGGGTTAGGCAAGGCTACTGTGCTCCCCAGACTCTGAGCTGGCAGCCCCCACCCTCCGAGTCTCGCCTCCTCTCTTTGCACAATGAGCCTGCTGACCTTCAATCTCCTCTTTTCTTTCCAAGCCTCATTTGGCTTGGCAACAGTACAGGTGTCTTTAAACGTGCCACACTTGAATTACAAACACAAAGGGGAAGGGGCCAGGTGGACCTTGAAATGTGCAGTTTGCCCTCTGGACTTGGCTGCAGGCTTGACAGGTGTCACTGGTTCTCCTGGGAGAGTGAGCGGCTGACGACATCACCCCGGCCTGGAACCCAGGCTTCCAGTAAGGCCTTGTTTGTCAGTTCAGAACAGGACACTTGGGTTGGACACTGAACAGGGGGTGAGTTACCAAGCAGTAGATTTGTTCTCCGTTGCCCAAGAAAGAGGGAATCTGTTATTTCTACAGACTAATATCTCTCTTGTTTGCCTACTTCCCATGGCTAGAAGTTCCTGGAAGCTTTTTCCAGGAAGAGACCCTGTAGGAAACAATTGAAGAATGTGAAACCCCGTTCGGGCTGGCTTTACCATAAAGCGTCTTTATTTGCACAGAAACATGTAGGAGGCTGTGTGAAACAGGTCGGTGTTAGGAACAGTGGCTAAGAAATATGGACACAAGCCATGAACTGTGAATGGTTGGCCTTCTTGCTTCCCGTGATCCCTGTAAGGTCAAGCTGTGCACACACTAGGCAAACGTCCTGTCCTTTGGGTGCATTGCCAGCCTGGGCTATGCCTTCCAAAGAAGAAACATGAGGTTCTAAGAGGTTAAATACAAAATCACCCCAGCTGTCCATAAAGGAAAAGGGATTCAAATCTGGGTCCCTGCAACTGTAGATTTTATGCAGAATCCTTCCGGTTGCATGGGCATAGAAGGGACTAGGTCCTGTCTCGCTGTTCTTTTGGTGGCAACACTCTCGAATGACCTCCACTTCTGGTTCTAGGAATGGAGCCAACCTGGGGCCCCATGCATGCTCTGTGGGCAGGCAGTTTATCACTGGGCAACTGCACCAGCCCCTGCTCTGCACGCTGTTAGACAGAAACTGAAAACTGAGCGAGGGTGTCTGAAAGAAGCAATAGAATGCTCCTTTCGGTCTTTGTTCCCATTCTCTGGTAGCAAAGATAGACTGAGGGGCCCAGGTGACATTTGCCCAGTAAACAGAAGTTCAGAAGCAGGCAGTCCACACCCAGCTGAGCAAACAGCAGTTGCAGGGCACGGTGGGGCTTACCAGCTCCCAGGCTTAGCCTGGCTTAGAGAGCTGGCCAAAAGAGTGTGCCCGAGGTCTGAGAGCTCATGAGGGTGCAGGGCAACTTAAAAAAAAAGAAGAAAACAGGGTTCTCATGTAGCACAAGCTAGGCTGGGATGGCAGGACTGCACCACCATACTTGGCTGAAGGAGTGTTGACAATCAAACTCCTTACTTCCTGCATGCTAGGCAAGCACTCTACCAACGTAGCTCCACCCCTGGCTCTGCTATTACTAACCAATACCCCTGTGTGCCGCTCATCTTCAAAGTGGAGGGTACCAGCCGGTTGATAGGTGAGTTCTCAGGCTACAGAAGCCACGACTGGACCTGAACGAATATTAGATCCTGGACAGAACTTAGTTGCTGGCTTCAAGCACCTCCAGACCCTACAAACCCAGGATGGCCTTGGCTTTCTAAGACCTCTGTTTTCTTGTTAGGGACTGACAGAAGGACTTGCCTGAGGTTGGCAAGTACAGTTTAAAGTACTCAAGGAGCTAGGAGGTGGTGGCACACTCCTTTAATCCAAGCACTGGGGAGGCAGAGGCTGTTGGATCTCTGTGAGTTCAAGGTCAGCCTGTTATACAGAGCGAGTTCCAGAACAATACTCAGAATTCTAGCATATACTGTCACACAAGTCTCTTCTTTTGATTCCCACCCCCCCTTTTTTCTGATGGTGAAGTCCCGAGTCAGTTAAATGACAAATTAAAAAGAAAAAACGTAACATTTAAAACGTAAAGCTTAGAGCCAGGTGCGTGGTTTAAGCCTGTAATCACAGTACTTCGAAGGCTGAGACAGGAGGATCACTATGAGTTCAAGAGCATCCTGGCTATATAGTGTGTTCCAAGGCAGGGTAGCCTGGAGTGTATAGCAGGGTAGCCTGGAGTGTATAGCAGGGTAGCCTGGAGTGTATAGCAGGCTAGCCTGGAGTGTATAGCAGGGTAGCCTGGAGTGTATAGGGAGACTATCTGGGGGGGGCGGGTGTTAGAGCACACACCTACAATCCCAACACTCTGGAGATGGAGGCAGGATGATTATAAATTCAAGATCACCCTTGGCTTTGTAGCTGTGTTGAAAACCAGCCCGGTTTCC